GTTTCATATATTCTTTCTACTCTTTTTCTCTTTCCTTCTGGGGCTCCATTATGCACGTTGTGGCATGCTTCTTGCCATCCCCCTGGTCTCTGAAGCTCTGTTCAGTTTTTCATTGTTTCCTTTCTGTTCCTCAGACTGACTACTTTCATTTGACCTATCTTCAAATTTTCCAGTTCTTTCTTCTGGCTGCTGTAATTGGCTTCTGAGACCCTCTAGTAGGTTTTTTTGCTTCAGTTCTTTTTCCCCCAGTTACTTTTGAATTCCAGAATTTGTATTTGGTTCTTTTAAAAAAGTAATATCTATCTCTTTATTGATTTTCTTATGAGATACTGTTCCCATACTTTCCTTTAGTTATTTATACATGGTTTTCTTTAGCTCTTTGAGTGTATTTACCATAGTTGATTTATAGACTTTCTACTAAGTTCATGTCTAGACTTCCTCAGGAATAGATTTTGCTTGTTTTTGTACATTGTGTATGGGCTGTCTTTGTTTTTTGTGAGTCTTATAATTTTTTTTGTTGAAAATTGGGCGTTTTAACTAACAATGTGGTAATTCTGGAACTCAGACTCTCCTTTTCTCCATGGTTTGTTGCTGTTGGTACTTGATGGAGTTCTTGTTTGATGACTTCTTTTCTTTTCTTTTCTTTTCTTTTCTTTTCTTTTCTTTTCTTTTCTTTTCTCTTTTTTTTTCTTTCTCTCTTTCTCTCTCTGTCTCTCTCTATTTCTCTCTCTCTCTCTTCTCTGTCTTTCTGTCTTTTTAAGAGAAAGAGAGAGAGCCCAGGAGCAGGGGAGGGGCACAGAGGGAGAGAGAATCTTAAGCAGGCTCCATGCCCAGTGCAGAGCCTGACGTGGGCTCGATCTCACAACCGTGAGATGATGATGTGAACTGAAATTGAGAGTCAGATGCTTAACTGACTGAGCCACCCAAGTTGCCCCTGATGACTTTTCTGAACTAATTTTCTAAAGTGTGTATTCTTTATCATGTGTGGCCAGTGAAGTCTTTATTTGGTGAGCTTAGTGATCAGCAAATGATTGGACAGACTTACTTTTTTTTTTTTTTTTTTTTTTTTTTTTTTACATTTGTTTATTTATGAGAAACAGAGTGAGACAAAGCGTGAGCGGGGGAGGGGCAGAGAGAGAAGGAGACACAGAATCTGAAGCAGGCTCCAGGCTCTGAGCAAGTGGTCAGCACAGAGTCTGATGCAGGGCTTGAACCCGCAAACTGTGAGATCATGACCTGCGCCAAAGTCCGACGCTCAACCGACTGAGCCACCCAGGTGTCCCGATTGGACAGACTTTCTTAAACACCTAGAACCAGTGAATCTTTCTTCCATGGAGCTCCATGTACATATCGGGGCATGCCTTTAACACTTAGCCTCGCAGTTGAAAAGTCTGCCATAGACTCCATTTCCTGCTCATGCAGAGTCTCAAAGTCAGCTGGTGGTGAGGGGTTAGGGCCTCACCTAAGGATTTTTCCTAAGCTTGCACACGGCCTGCACATTCACGTGGCCCAAATGTTCAAAACCTCCATGAACATTGTATTCCCCAGCGTTTTTTTTGTTTGCCTCAGCTGTTATCCACTATTGCAGTCCACAGTGAAATTAAAATACTAGCCTGTAATTGTTTGCAGCAAACACTCTCTGGGGAAAAGGCTTTTCTGAATCCATTCAAAACCAGCCTAACAGGTGGGATCTTCCAGGGAACTGTCACATAGGACAGGTACTCACAGTTCTTTAGGAATGGAGTTTTGAAGGAGCCCCAGCCCCTTTCTGCTCTCTCAGGTGTGCCATACTGTGCTGGGAGCGTGGGTTACCAAGGGACTGGAGAGTGAGAATGGGTCTAGGGTAAGTTAGAAGGTCACAAAGCTTGTGTTGCTTGCATAAATGCTCTCTGGATTCCTGCAAACCTTTGGTTAGTTTCCAAAGTTTGGAAACTACATATTGACAGTTTTCACCAGTGTTCTTGTTGCTTTTTTGGAAGAAAGCTTTTTCAGGGTTTTACTCCATTATTTTCTGTTTCGGATCAGGAAATTTCTTGTGTAGCTTCTTGTTTTCCTGGTGTGTTTCTTGCTTTCTTTTTCTTGTAAAAAATAGTATGCTTTCATCATAACCTCAGAGCCACCCAGACTCTCTGGTACAGTGTATTGTCTAGAAACCACTTTCCCGAGGTCCTTTCACCTCTCATTCCAACCTGGGCCGATTGTGTTTGAGTTCTGTACAGCTCCCATCCAGGAGCTTCCTTTCACCACACTTCTAGATGAAATTCAGTATGTTGGGGATCTCTGTTGCACCTTCCTCTTCCCCCTCCCCCAGTTTTAGGAAGATATAATTGACATATAATGCTGTTACTAGCTCGGGTGTATAGAGTACTGATTTGAAGTCCGTGTGTATCATGGGATGATCACCATGGCAGGTTTGGTGGCCTCCTTTGCCATACGTAGTTACGGTTTTGTGTGTGTGTGAGGAGTGTTTCAGTTCTGCCTTAGCAACCTGCGCACATGAGACAGGGATGTGAGCTGCGGTCACCAAGCTGTGCGGGAGATCTTCCTCTGGTTTAATTTTCTTCTCATTTTGCTGTGGTTTAGCCTCAAGGAACTTTCTTAAGATACGTTATAAATCCAGAGATCTCGAATGTTTTAAAATGTAGTTATTTTAAACCTCTGCTTATTCTCTGGTTTGGGTATGAATAGAAATCTAACTTCACGAAAATTCTCCACTTGGAAGATGGAAGGCATGGCCTGCTTGTGCTTCTGCATCCAGTGTAACTGATTCTAGAGATCTTCCATTCAGGTTCTTTGTGAGTAAACTTTTTTTCCCTGGGGAACTTTCGGGGCCTTAAACACCTGAGGTTATGAAACCACGAGTTTGTGTGAGTCATCTTTCATTCGTTCTGTGTAGCCCTCAGTGGGTTTTTTGTCAGCAGGCACGTTTTCCTTCAACTCTGGAGCATTGTCCCGTGGCTGCCGTGGTTTATGGCATGCCACACTGACCGCCTGATGCATCTTGTCTCTCCCTTGATGCTTTCCAGCCTTGCTGTTGGGAGTTTTATTTTAGCCTCTGTGTGTTTAGTATGTGTGAGCATTCTGTTCTCCTGTTTCTTTTTGCTTCCACACTCCTCTCATCTCTCTGAGGGTGTGTATTGGAAATATTTTGGGATTTCCTTTCTTCCTAATTAGTTCTCTAGTCTTTGTGTTCCATGCTGCAGATTTTCCTTCAGGATGCAATTCTGAGTTCCCTGGTTGTTTTTTATTTAAAAACCTATTTTCCACATTCTTTAGGGTAGGGGATGGTGTTGATGATTTTCTCCATATCGGTCTGGGGTCTGCTCCTCTCCCACCTAGGAGGGCTGAGGGGCTGGCCGCCCACATGGCCCCCACACACTGCCCGTCACACTGCTGACCAGGGTGTTTGGGATGGCGCCCCGCGCTGGTCTGGGCCACGGTGTGTTCTGTCCTTTCTGATGGGTCCTCCCCAGCACAGCCGTCCCCGGGCTGACCCTGACTCTGAGCTGCTTGGCGTCTGCCCTCCCTGCCTGCCGACTGCCAGCCGGAAGCCCCAGGTGGCCACGGCCCCCAGGTGCAGACCAGTCTTTTGTCCCTGCTCCACACTGTCTGTCCCCATGCTCGTGCTGGTCTCCCTGGAGCTGCTGGAAGCTTGTCTGTGCTGGTCTCCCACCTCCTCCCTTGTGCCATCTGGGCTTTTCCTCTTTGTGCTTTGTTTCTGTGGGTCGCAGAGGCTGGGACATACTCACCCCTCCCAGAGTGACATCTCGAACTGGAAGCGTGTCCTGTCTGGGTCCCCTCGGTGCTTTGGCCCATCCCCTGTTGTGCAAGACCAGCAGCATGAGCAGCTTGCCCGAATTTGGAGATTACGGTTATGTAAGGCCGACTGGGAGGATTTTATTAAAGCGAGCTTGCTCCTGGGGTGCCTCCGCTGCAGCCCAGGTTCATGGTCAAGGACATCTGACGGGCCAGTGATTGGATCCCCCAGGAGTGTGCTGGGTGCCGGGTAACGCCGGGTTGTACCCATGTCTTCACAGAGCTGGCCGAGTCGACAGTAAACCCTCCCAGAGGTTAGGTGCGGGGCAGTCGTGCCCACAGGATGCTACCCAGCCTGTGTGGGGACACGTGTGGGCAGTGGCTCACCCGTCCCCAGGTGCGGCCTGGAATTCTCCTTGTCTCCGAAAGCCAAAGTTGATGGAATGGTATCTTGCCACGGGCCATCTTCCACCTGAGGGTACTTCACGTTAGGTTACAGCAGCCAAGCCTGAATATCTATCTGTGACTCTCAGAGTTTGTTTTCAACACTTTATGTTTAATGAGCACTTGTGGAGTCACATGGCGGGGGGGCGGGTGTCGCCTCCACACAGAACCGGATGGAGCCCACCCTTAGGAAGGCCTGGGTTCCCACCTCCAGTGTCCCTTCACCTGATGCATTCTTCACGTGCGGTCACGAAAAGACTTTGCATTATAGACACAGATTTCAGAGTTTGAAAAGGGACAGGACTGGTTTGCTCTCCTTGTCCAGTTCGTGATCTAATGAACCTCCAGGGGTTTGGGAGCACTGGGTGCTGGCCAGCGAGGTGGGTGCCTCTCTGCTCGGTGCAGCCTCAGCAGCTCCTGGAAGAGGGCATGTGGGGGGGCTCTGCACCCCCTGCCAGACGGCGGGATGGGAGAGGGAGGCACACCCCAGCTGCGCCACCCACGCCTGCCTGCCGCGTGGGGCTCGGTCCCCTGATGGAGCAGGGGCTTTGGTGGGAAGCCAGTGGTTTTCCCCATGTCATCGTTGCGCACGTGGAAACAGAACTTGCAGTACATTTACTTGAAGGAGATTGATGCGCAGGCCTCCTCAGGTGTCCCTTGGTTGGGATGATGGACTTCGTCCAGCTGCCTGCTGCCCCCGGGTAGTCCTGTGTCGTGTTCTGGTCTGCACCCGGCTCCTGCTTTGGAGTGTGCTGGGCACCCATTGGGGTGCCAGGTGACTCCCTTCTCCTCGGTTCCAGGTCTCGGTGGCCCTGAGCAGCAGCTCCATCCGGGTGGCCGTGCTGGAGGAAGCTGGGGAGCACGTCCTCATGGAAGGGAAGTTCACCCACAAAGTCAATACTGAGAGCTCCCTCTGGAGCCTGGAGCCTGGGAAGTGCGTTCTGGTGAGTGTGGGCATCCATGCTGGGCTGCGGGAAGGAGTGGGGGCTGGGGGCAGTGGGGGGGTCCTGCGGTCTAGGGCGCCTCTCAGGGCGCCTTTGCTGGCCTCGGCCCTACAGGCCCCCACCACTTGGCACTCTGAAGTGGAGCCACGTTAACATGAGACCCACGGTGGTCCGTCCTCGGGCACACGTGGTGGCTGCACTCGGTGAGCATGGAGAGGCTCCTGGCAGGGTCATCCCTGCATGGCAGAGCTCGCTTGGATGTGACCCCTGGTCCCAGAGGCTTCCGCTTGCCAGGTCCTGGGTCATGTCGGAGGCAGAGTCAAGTAAGGCGAGGATTGAGAGGCAGGTTGGATTTCCGGGATGCTGCACCAGAGGACGCAGAGCACAGTCGGACCGCTCGTTGGACAGCGGGGGTCTCATTGAGCCACTCGGGGCTGCAGAGCCCCAGCAGGAGCTTCAGTGCCCTGTTTACTGGAACCTTCCATGGCTCCGCCCCCTCTTTAGGGTCTTGGCCTGGTCGGTGGGTGCTGCCCAGCGGGACCTCGTATGGCACGGGTGCCTCACCAGACAGGAAGATACCAGGTCTTTGGACAAAACCTGAGGGTTTTAAAGGCACGTTCTTCACGTGTGCCAGAAAGGAAGGAAAGAAGAAAGCAAAAAAATGTGTGTTTCGGTTTTATGAAGATCAGCATCTCCGCGGGATGGGTGCCAGTGGGCCAGCCTGTCTGTGGGGACCGTCAGGGCCGTGGGGTGGAGAGGGGTCTGTCAGTGCTGGGGTGCTGGAGTCCCTTGGCACATGGGGCCCCTCCACGTGACGAGGACAACGGGTCGCAGAGCATAGGCCCCTCCGCATGACAAGGACACCGGGTCGCAGAGCACAGGCCCCTCCGCATGACGACGACACCGGGTCGCAGAGCACAGGCAGGTCTGCTTGGCCCTTGTTCTGAACCTAGCTTTGCACGTCCTTGTCCTTGCGAGGCTTATCTCCGTGAGACCGCCTCCCTCTCGTCAACCTGGGGCTCAGCCCTTCTGGCCGTCAGGCTGTGCCTCCCATCCCCCCCCCCCCCCCCCCCCCCCCCCCCAAAGCCATCCCTGCACCCGGCCATGTGGGCGGCGGTGTCTCCAGCTCCTCTCATTTGCAAAATACCTTCACGATGACGGCCTTACTTCCCATGGTCGTGGGAGGCACAGTCAGGGTCTCTTTGCCCCTCGCCCCATGACAGCTGCTGGCAGCTCCAGTGGCACAGGTGGAGCTGTGAGGCCGGAGCCCGTGGACAAGGGGTGCAGTGGCTCCAGAGCAGTGTCCAGGGTGAGTCCTGGTGGTACCGTTGCTGTGCTCCCCAGAGGAGCATGGCTGGGAAGCCCTCACCATGCAGTCTGTCTGCCCTGACACTTCCTCTGGGATGCACGAAACCATGTCCGTACAAGGACAGGCTGGCCTCACATCCACTGTGACTGGTGTACCTGACATCACTGCTGTGGAAACATGCTGCTCATGACTCGGTAGTGCGTCTCGTAATGGCTTTGCTTGGCAGAGGTGACTTTGACGTCCTCGTGGCCATGTTGTCTCTGTTTTGTGCGCGTGTGCCTAAGTGGGGCTGTGGCCGGGCCGGAGTGCGATTCATCGTCCCGGCTGCCACTTGCAAGCACACAGGGGGCCGGGCTCTCAGAGTGGCCTGGTAACACGGTAAACTCTCTGGAAGCTTGCTTTCTGGACACGGACCCTGCACCTGGAAGTGGCTCACCCGAGCTGAAGCCTGCCTGTTCCCTCCCTGTCGGCCTTCCCGCTGCAGGACGCCCAGGACGGGGCCGGGAGAAGTGCCTGTGGCCGGTTGGAGGCCTTCCTGTGGTCGCCCTCGCCATCCCGGAGCTGGTGCACTTGTTGCTGCCAGGAACACAGCTTTGAGGAGTTTTCCCTGTGGACCTCCTGCCAGCAGGGTCCATGTGGAAACCCTGGATCCCCGGGTGCCGGACAGGTCCCTCCCCACTGTCTGCAGAGTGCTTGGCTGTCTGTGCTGGAGCCACGTGTGTGCGGGCCTCACCGCCTGCCTGTCTGTCCCCAAGCTCACTCTTCAGCCTGGCCATGGCATGGCTGATGTGTCCTGCCCATGGGATGCAGTCTTTCCCCCGTGTCTCCTCGCTCCCGACCACAGGCCGTAGTCTGGGTTTGATAGTTCATCTGTCGGTGATGTTTGGGGTCATGCATCTGAGATGATACCGTGGCTCAGCTGTTCTGACACGTGAAGGCCCTGCTTGTGTTTGCTGCTGGGAACAAGCCCGTGTTGCTCGGGCATCGGGGGCAGACGGCAGGGCTGGCGGGGCCCCTCCTCTGGTCAGCATTGCCTGGCGTTGGGAACCTCATCAGCCATGGGAGCTCGGTTCCTCATCCTCGAGATGAGGCCGAGAGCCGTGGTCGGTCACTCTCGACATGTGGGCCGCTAAGGAACATGGTCAAGGGCCCCTCTCCTGAGGGCTGCAGAGGGCCCCACATGTCCTGGTGTCCTCACCAGAGCCTGGAACCTGCACGTGCTACCTCACGGGAGACGAGAGGGAAGTGTGAGACAGAGGAGGATGCGCAAATCAGTAGTAACATGAAGACAGGCAGAGACTGGGGCCACAGCCCGTCCCTGGACCCCTCGGGAGGGGCCAGCTGGTCTCACCCGGAGAGGGCAAGTGTTCCCTGCTGCCCTGGGGCAGTGGCACAGGCCTCGGGTGTCAGTGTGTCCACGAGGGCCTCACAGAGCAGGTGGGCACCCCAGGACTGCCTTCACCTCAACAGAGTCCTTGGTCCGCGCCCCTGACCTCCTGACAGTCGAGGCCGCCTGCTTCCCAGCCGCCCCCCTCGCCCAAGTGGTTGCTTTCGGAGCAGGCAGGGGCGGCAGCTAAAACCGGATGACAGCTCTTGCCTCCCTCCCTCCCACACTCGAGAATGCCTCTCAGGCAAGAGACATGAAGTCAGCGCCTCCCCCGACCGTTCTGTCCCAGAACCGCCCGGCACACTGTCCTCGGTTCCCCTCCAGGTGGTGCTGGTGGCTTGGTGCCCAGGGCCGGGGGCCGGGGCCAGGGGGAGGGTCTGGGGGTGGAGGGTTGAGATGCACCCCAGGCGGGGGTGGTCCATCAGCTGACCCTCTAGCCATTCAGGTTGGCTCAGCAGGTGCAGGGTGTTCTGGGGCCCATGTCTGCTCGGGGGACACGGGGGTGAGCATGTGTACATGCTGTGCCTCCGCGTGCTTGGATGACTGACTTAGGTCCTTAAGTTCAGTTCTCAGAAGCAGAGTTGCAGGCTGACTGTGGTCCTTGGCCGTTTGCCAGGGGCTCCCCCCCTGCGCTGTTTCTGTGGTGACCTGGGTCCCTGTGCGTCCTGACTGCTGGTCCCCCTGCACTCCTTTCTCTCTCTCTCTCCCTCTGCTGGTGGGGATGTGGGTTTCTCAGGAAGGGCCTTCCCGTTGCTGTTTCCTCGCTGGTGGCCACCAGTGTCACAGAGAGCGTATCCTTCTTCCTCCCAAATGCAGGTTAAATAACGTTAGCATTTTGGCGTATGCCGGAAGCCTGAAAACCAGTCGCCAGAATGAAATGCAGGCCCTTGGCTTTCAGCACTCTCATCTCCCGGGGTCCTGGGAGTTTCTTGGGACAGTCAGCACCTTGGCACCACCACAGGTGTCCCTGAGCCCCAGCAGGGAGTGGGGGCGGGGGGCCAGGGCAGTAGGGATGTGCTGACAGGACCGGTGGGCCGTGCTCCCAGGGGACCCAGATACTGTCCCTCTATCCCGCAGAGACCCTGCTCAGCACCACCTGGCTGCCCTGTGCTTTCAGCACGTGGGTCCTCCCACCTCCCCCACACCTGCACCACGCACTGTGGCCCTGTCCTGTTTGGCCCACGTGGTGCTTTGATTTGTAAGCTTAAAAAACTTGTGGACAACATGGAACACCAGGAGATTACCCATCATGGCACCGCCTCCAGCAGGTTCTAGATGTGGATCCCGTCCCTCATGGTGCGCCTCCGGCAGGTTCTGGAAGGTTCTGGATGCAGATCCCCATCCCCTCACAGAAGCGCCTGCAGAGGGCAACTTCCTGTCATCTGTCCTGGGCTTGATGCGCCTCCGCGGAGCCCCTGTCCACAGCTTTCATGGTTGCCTCCCCAGCCTGCACTGTCCAGAGGGCACCTCAGCAGGCACTTGGCCGCCTGCTTGGACACAGCTCTGCCATGGAGGGGGGTGGGGGAGGCAGAGGTGGTGACTCACCCGCACAGGTTGTGGGCGTTATGAGCTTGTTCATGTGGAGCTTGAAGTTTCTGTGAGGACATTTCAGGAAGCTGGTTCTGGGTCTGGGACCCAGTCTGTACAGGATCCTGGAGGGAGGCCAGGTAAGGGGGGGCATGTTACCAGATGGCAGTGAGCTCGCCGGCCTGTCAAGCCAGGAGACTGAACACCAGCGTAGTTGGGGACGGGAGTGAGTGGGGGCCTTTGAAACACTGGGCGTCCAGGAGGAAGCTGTCGTGGAGGAGGAGGCCCCTGCCACCAGTGTGGGGAAGATGGGGTCAAGGAGGAATGCACAGAGCATGTGGCTGCATGACGTCTGTGCCTAAACGGGGGACATGCTAGGAGGGCACAGCGTCACCTTTGCTGTGTCCTGTTGGGGATGCTTCTCTGAGTTTAATCAGGAGGAAACACCAGACAAACCCCAAATGAAGAATGGTCTTTAGGAGAGGCCGCGGAATGTTCCAGTTGAGTGGGGACAGGACCCCAGCGCACATCCCGTGCTGGAGGGAAGGTGAGCTGCGGTTCTAGTAGAGGAAGGAGGTCCTCATGGAAATATCAGGGGTCAAGGGTCAAGGTGGTTCAGAAAAAAATCCTGGAGTTTGCTGTGTGTTACGCATGTCCTTAAACAGGGTTCGTGTGCAGACTCGTGATGATAAAGCATGTTGCTGGGAGGTCCGGGGAAAAGCGCACGGATGTGTTTGGAATTATTGCAAGTAAAATGTTCAAAAAACCATGATGGCAGAGAAACTTGAGAACAGGTGCTTGCACCCTTGGTCGTCAAGGACTCGTGACCCGGAGCTGCTGGCTGTGTGGCTGTGTGTTTGTCGGGGCTCAGGACGTACCCCCAGACTCCACAAACCTGATTTTTAGGAAAGTAACAATGTTACAGTGAAAAATCAAAACCCCACGTTGAGCCATCAGGCTCCTTTAGACCCAGGGCCTCAAGCTCTGTCCCAAGGGCGTCTCCTCAGCGCCGTCTTGTTTTGGCCACTGCAGTGTGGATGTACCTCGAGGACACCATGCTGAGTGCAAGAGGCGGGGCACTGAAGGACACGTGACGTGTTTCAGGGCCGGGAGGAGGGGCTGCTTGCGGGAACAGGGCTCCTTTTGAGGTGGTGACCCCGTTGCGGAACCGGATACAGGTGGAGGCTGTACAACACTGTGTATGCACTGACACAGACTCGTTGTCTTTAGTTTTTTGAAGTTTATTTATTTTGAGAGAGAGAGAGAGAATGAGTGGGGGAGGGACAGAGAGAGGGAGAGAGAGAATCCCAAGCAGGTGGCACACTACCAGTGCAGAGCCCAGCGTGGGGCTCCACCCGGTGACCCTGGGATCATGGCCTGAGCTGAAATCAAGAGTTGGACACTCAGCCAATGGCCACCCAGGCGCCTCCTGTGAGCTTCACCTCAAGAAGAATTTTTTTAAAAGTGGTATTGGGATTGTTTTGGTTTTTGTTGGGTTTGCAAAGGGCCTGGGAGTGTTTGCTGTGTGGACCCAAGATGCGCGGGCAGTGCAGCCCACTGTGTTCTTTGTGTGCAGCATCAGCCCATCCTATCCCCAGGCTGCACGGGGCCTGGTCATGCGTGCACACCTGCCCAGACACCCTGCATGTGGTTCGTGGTTCGGGTGAGAAGGGCTAGCGGTGGAGCCTGGGGCAGGGCAGGGCTGGCTCCTGGAGTGGCGGCCTCCAGGGTGTCTGCAGAGACCCCAGCCAGGGTGACAGCGGAGGGAACACAGAATGAGCCTAGAGGGCCTGTGTTTCCCGAGATAGATCAGCACCTTGGGCATCTCTCCAGGAACGATGAAGATGGAGTACGCTTCCACTCGGGAGGTTTTCGTTGCTTTGGAAGGAACACAGATTTGCACCTCAGTGAAGATTCTCAGTGTTGGGGCCTTGGCCAGGTCGGGTCCCCAGGCCCAAACTGAGGAGCAGAGTCCGTAAGAAGCCAGCTGAACGGAGCATCTGGAAACAAAATCCACCCCACACGCAGACCACGGC